AGGGTGGGTGAGGGGCGGGTAGAGCCAGGCAGGAAGAACAACCCGAAAGCCTCTGAATAGGGCAAAGATTCTGTTTACCGACATACGAAACCAGCGGCGAGGCGACATGCATGTGATGGGAGACACGTGATGACAGACCCATAAAAGTACAAGAATGAAGCCAAAAGCAGCTCACCAACAAATGTGAGCGGGTTTGTGGAATGTGTATATGGACCGAACTGTCATTCTTGACTGTATGTGCACCAAAAGCAAAAGAGCAAAATAAACCATGCAAAGTTTAACCATGCAAAGGCAATGATTTGATTGACTGAAAGACAGACGGCCTGGCTGGAAATAATCCCACCACCCTATAAATACTGTTCATATCAACTAGAGCAGACTGAACTCAAGCTACAGTCTTGAACAGCTGTCCCGGGTGTAGTTTACAGGCACCTGTTTAACAGGAGTGGAAAATTGACTGGGGGAAAAAAAACTCAAAACTCAACATGGGTGGTTTGAGGTGGCTCTTTTGAATGAACATGAAGATGATTCTAACGTTGTTCACATTCACATTCTTGGCACATGCTCTGCACAAAACTACTAATCTAATACAAGATATATAAAAAAAAAAAATAAAAAAAAATGTTTACTGATATAGCTGCTGGAAAAGTTATAGTTTCACAAGTGTCAACATTTTTTTTATGAATGAATGTCAATGCTTCAAATGTTAGAACACTCAAATTCATCATCAAACAAACAAACAAAACAAAAAAAACATCTATTTTCTAAATGTATCCTATTGCAAAAAATTCGCCAATCCATGTTTCTTCTTTTTTAAAATTTGTGTTGACCTCTAAATTTAAATCAAAATATAACACAATTTTCCATTGAGACTTCTCTCTAGTGACGTATGCCAGATTTGTTTAATCATTTGGTCCTCAAATTCTGCCACCATCCAATCAACAACTGAGACGGGACCCCACCCTAGGGCTGGGCGATATAGCTAAAAAAAATGATCAACTATATAATGTTTCATATCGTTCGGTATCGATAATTATTGACATTTTTATAACCTTTTTTAAAACACAGCAATATAATTTTTTTATTTAACCACTATTTTTTAACTAAGCCAATTTATTGAGACAAACAACAAATGTTTTTTTTGTTTTAACAGTCAAACACACAATACAAATTAAACAAATATCTCATTTGTAATGTTTTATATGCAGATTAAATAGGTTTTAAGGAAACTATTGTCTCGTCTCTCGAGGCCACAGGAGTGCGCATTGAGCAAAATAATGCAGCACATAATGTCAACGCATGGAAATAGCGGTCTATAAAAAAAACATGCATTACGTCTAAATTAACTCATAAATCAAATATAATTTCGTAAATTGCATAAACAGTTATGAACAAAACAGCATCATGTATTTATGCATTGCTTAATACAAAGAGCCGAACTCGCCCATCACGCAGATTGCATTTAAAAACATAAGAGACGCAGTGAAAAGGAATAAACCTCCACAAATTCGCGACGTGTTTTCTAAAAGTTTAAACTGTTTTAACTTTGCATGGCTACATCTCTTGTGTGAGACGCGAGTGCAGCAGTCATATTTGTCCGTCAAAAAACACGTGCTGAATATGCGTTCTGTGTGAACGGCTTGGTTTTTGGTTTTAACCTAATCAAGATCTTCTCCGCATTGAGCTTCTATATTTCTCTAATATTTTGAATGCATAACACAGCAGCGGCGCGTCTCGTGGGCTAGACTAACAAAACATTAAAATGCAACAACGTCACTTACATCATCACCGCATCTTGTGCGCCACTGATGATGCTCCCTGACCCACTCCTAACATTCAAATGCAAATGTTTTTTTAAATTCGACTAATATTCATTTTTTTTATTCACAATCTCCTCATCACAGACAGGCACAGCACTCATTTCAGCATGTGTTCATGTTTGTGTGTGCTGTCTGCGTCACTCATAGCACGTGCCTATATCGAACATTTTTATATCGTTATCGAAGGTGTACCGTCGATAAATATCGATACCACTATATATACCCACCCTATAATTTTTTTTTTCTTTTTTTCCCTTGGATGTATATCACAATATGGAAGAAAAGATCTGTTGCTTCTTTTACATAGTGACTTAAAATAACTTATTTTCTATTATAAATGTGTGGTGTGACACAGGTGTTAAGAAAAAGAAAGAAAGATAACTCAATTTAACCAAGAACAAAGACTAGAAAATAAAATGAAAGGAGGGACAGAGGAGGAAAAAAGCTTCAGAGAGCGTACTGTGTAGCTCTGGAGAGGTTCTGTGATGCTCCGGTGAGGGTGGCCGTCTGTTACATTTGATCTGTGCTGTGGTTTCGGAGAGCCCTCAATTTGAACAGTGTTTGATCAGAGGACGAGGCTACACAGTGAGGCAGGTTATTATCCAGAGTTTGTCTGTCCTGTCCTCTCCCATTACATCGGCCTGAGCTTGGCTTCAGTACGCGCACACAACAAGCATGAGGATGTAGTGTCTCTTGAGGCTGTGTGAACTGGTATATACACAGCGCGAGAGGGCAAATGGGGTTAAACCACCTTTGGGAAGCTGTTAAGTAAAATGCCGGTCTTATTTCAGGCTAACGAAGCATTTTCCCCTGAGACTTCAGGTGATCCATGCCTTTACCTTTCAGAGAAAACATTAAATACACCACTAAAACAACTCATCGAACCCTGACGCATCCCCACAAATGACCTAAAACTAAACCCTGTGTGATGAGAACGACTCCTTCTGTGAATTAAAGTCACTCCTTTTTCTTTACTCTATTTTTCTACGTCTCTATCGCTCTTTCAGTCCCCAGAGGGAGCAGTAAACTAAATTATTGGCTTGGCTAATGGAAGATAAATAAACAACTCATCAGCCCAGACCTGAAGACCAGAGAGTCTGTTAAAAGTGTCTCTTTACAGTCATTGTATTTATTCTTAAAAAAAAACTCTTGTGTGAGACGCGAGTGCAGCAGTCATATTTGTCCGTCAAAATAAATGCGCTGAATATGCATCTACAACAACAAAGTATGTTCTAACTTTCTGGCCTCTAATAGTGCATAAGGTAGCTGAATTAAATTACTCTGGATGTTAAAGACGTAATGAAAAGGAAGCAGTGACAGATTTTTTCTTCTGTATTATGATGTGCATCCAAGTAAAACCGATTAATGAAAAAGAGAAAATGTAAGATGGGCACTTGGTTCGATCAATTGATTGTAGATCAGATGGAGGCAGATCTGCAAACTTGCGGTCAATTGTGAAAGGGCCGGGTTTAGGCAGACTAAATGATTAGTGAAGTCCAACATATGAAGATATTTTGATGAACAATTATGATATTAAAGCAAATTAGAAGTTAAACATGCATGGAAGAACCAGTCACAATAAGATCAATAACATGCATTTAAAAAAAAATATGGTAAATTTTAATTTCATACCCACTTTAAAATGTTTTTATTTTTATTACGAATATGAACTAGGAGTAAAAAAAAAAAAAAAAAAAAAGGAATATGATGCACAATGCTGTATTGTGAACAGTAACATCAATGGAACATTATGTGCTCTCTAATGTAATAACAGTCAATTCTGTCAGCTTTTGGCTCCACTGAAAAATCTGCGGAAATGCAAGAGATTAACAGGTACCCCACCCAAGAAAAAGCAACATTTCAGTGGAAAGGGAGTATGACAGAATCAGTCAGGAGACTATTCAGAGAAACTCTGTTAGGAAGCAGGAAAACTCATTCTGTGTTGGGGAGTAATCTAGTAAGCTTTAGATTAGTCATTGAGACAAGAGTGTTTGTTTTACATTCAGCAGGGCAATAGAAGACATAACCAATACAGAAATGCTATATAAAGGAAGAGAGACGAGAGAGAATTTCTAGTTTAATCAATTTCTGCATCAAGCCCTTGAGGTCACACATATGGCTTCTCAAGAGGGGAGCACAGCTGGGGCCCAGGTGTGTGTGTGAGTGTGTGGTAATGCTAATGCACAGTGATGGGGATTTCCTGATAAAACTGTTCCACTGGGACACTGACAGAGATACGAAGAGAAAGAGAAAGACTATACCGGACAAATAATGCTGATTCCTGGCAAAAAGTTCTTTAGAATTAAATCAGCACAGTTGCTTACTATGGAATCAGCCATTTCTTCAGATTTTTCAGCATGTAGTGCTTAGCAGTTACACGTACAAATGTCATTTCTCTCAACCCTCGAGAAAGTCTCTGCTAGAGCTGATAGGGCAGTACTGTTATGTCTCTGTGCTACATAACTCCCACCTGAAGCCATAATTTTCCATCATTCAGGGTTTAGCTTTTCCTCTGCTGATCACACAGTGGGTCTCTTCTGAGAATGTAAAGAAAGATCTGGGTTCTACTTTCTAGTATGTCTACCATGTGCTTTTGTTCTCTCTGACACACATCACCACAACCAGGCCTGAAATAGAACTGGGCCTCAGCCGGAGCCCTGCGAGCTAACCGTGAGTGTGAAGGAGATAGGAAAAGAAAGACATTAAGACAGAACAAATGAGTGAATTGGCTCATTAGGGACAAACTGGCTCTAAATGGCAAACGTCAGCAGAACATTGTCTGTGAAGGAGGAAGAGGGGGTTGAGAAAGCTCCAAATTGTGACTAAGTGGTCACATTTGTCCATGCTGGTTCGACATGTCCTGCTGGTGCAACAATTTTGTTACAAGTTTTGCTGGTGCCCCACGTTTTTTTTTTTATTATGTGCTGCCATTTTTCATGAAAATCAAATCTGAAATGCCACAACCAAACTGAACAACACAGCATGGCCAAATCATCAGCACTGCCCATATGGACTGTGCAGATCAGGACAACATGCAGCACAGAAGAATTTGACCAGTGATGGTCCTGCTCTGGGAATCAGTTTGAAACATGGCTCAAGTATGAATTAGGGCACAATACATAGACCCTGTATAAATTAGGTGTTAGTTAACTTATTACAGATTTACATTTTCTGTCTCACCTTCTTTCTGTCTCTCATGGAGCTCCTCCCTCTCACCATGATCTTGCAGCCAGTTTCTGCCTCCAGTTGTTTTGCTGTGAGTCCACGAGGGCCAAGAATTCTCCCTACAAAATTATACTGGAAAAACAAAACGTAGAGAGAGAGAGAGAGAGAGAGAGAGAGAGAGAGAGAGAGAGAGAGAGAGAGAGAATAGATTAGAATACATACAAAAAAAAA